GAGATGGGAGGGAGGGAGGGAGGGAGGGAGGGAGGAAGGAAGGAAGGAAGGAAGGAAGGAAGGAAGGAAGGAGCCATGGCGGTGCAGTGGTTAGAATGCAGTACTGCAGGCTACTTCTGCTGACTGCCGGCTGCCTGCATTTCGACAGTTCGATCCTCACCGGCTCAAGGTCGACTCAGCCTTCCATCCTTCTGAGGTCAGTAGAATGAGGACCCAGATTATTGAGGGCAAGAGGCTGACTCTGTAAACCGCTTAGAGAGGGCTGTAAAGCACCGTGAAGCGGTATATAAGTCAAAGCGCTCTTGCTAAAGGGCCTGGGTACCAGCAGCACAGTTGGTGGCCATTTTGCAAGTAGCTTGTCTTCTCCCAGTTTGTGTGTTTCTATGATGGGTTCGTGGCAATGTATGCTTTTCAAAACTGTACTAAAAAGGTTCCACTCCAATCGAGGATACTGCCAATTGGAAACTTGTTTCCACGCAATCCTTTTATTTGCAAAAAAAATTTTTTTTTCTTTTCCTTTCCACCTACAGGTAGTCCTCAACTTACAACAGTTCTTTTAGTGACCGTTCAAAGTTACAACGGCACTGAAAAAAAAGGGGTCTTAGGACCATTTTCCACACTTACGACCGCTGCAGCATTTTCCCACGGTCACGTGATTTACATTCGGATACTTGACAGCTGACTCACATTTATGACGGTCGCAGTGTCCCAGGGTCACGTGACCCCCCCCTTTTGCGATCTTCCGACAAGCAAAGTCAAGTGGGGACGCCAGATTCACTTCCCAGTCGTGTGCAACGATTTACGTAACAACAGTGGCAAGAAAATGGCACAAAATGGGACAAGACCGACTTAAGAAATTTCTCATTTAGCGGCGACATCAGTTCGGGGCTCAATTGTGATCGTTAAGTTGAGGACTACCTCTTTTCTGGTATGGCTCGTTGGGCCTGCACACCAGGCAAAAGGACCCAAACTTTTCGGGACAGCAACTGTGCCTCTACCACAGGGGTCTCCAAACCTGCCAACGTTTAAGACGCGTGGACTTCAACTCCCAGAATTCCCCAGCCAGCATGATTCAGTGCTAGAAGGGAGGGGGGTTGACATGGCTGGCTGAGGAATTCTGGGAGCTGAAGTCCACAAGTCTTAAAGCTACTGAGGTTAAAAAAACTCTGCTTTAGAGTAGGGGGTCTCCAAACTTGGCAACTTTCATACTTGTGTACTTCAGCTCCCAGAATTACCCAGCCAGCATGACTCAATGCTAGAAGGGGGGGTGCTGATACGGCTAGCTGGGGAATTATGGGAGTTAAAGCCCACAAGTCTTAAAGCTACTGAGGTTAAGAAACTCTGCTTTAAAGTAAGGGTCTCCAAACATGGTCACTTTAAGACACGTGGATTTCAACTCCTAGAATTGCTCAGCCAGCATGACTCAGCGTTAGAAGCGATGGCATATGACACCAGTGAGATTAGCAAAAATGTTTAAAAATACTTTAAACAACTGCTGGAAATGCAAACAAAGACCAGGTACTTATTATCATATCTGGTGGACGTGCCCTAAAGCAAAAAGGGTTTGGGTTAAAATACATTTATGGCTGGAGAAAATGACTAAAAAACAAATGGACTTTAAACCAGAATTATTTTTGTTAGGAATAATAGGAGCTCATTATGAGAAAGATTGCAGATATTTAATACTACACGTACTAACGGCAGCAAGAATTGTATTTGCCCAACATTGGGAAAATGAAAACTTACCAGCTGAAGAAGTGCTAATTCAGAAAATTCTAGAGTGTGCAGAAATGGATAGACTGACTTTAGAGATTAAAGAGAAAGAAGATTCAGTGTATTTTAGAACATGGGATAATTTCTATCAATGGCTAGAAAAACGAGTCAAAGAGAAAGGAATGTGATATGTAATTTTGAATATATATTAGCAGGAAGAAGGCTTTTGAGTGATTAATTAACATATTGTTTGTGATAATTAACTATTATCTATTACTGTTTGCCAAACACATGAACCCAGACATTATGCTGTTTGCTAAATATTGAAAATGTTATTTGGAAAAATCCCAACCCCAACCCTAATCCTAACCGTAACCCAGGGGTAGGCAACCTTGGCTCTTTTATGACTGGTGGACTTCAACTCCCAGCATTCCTGAGCCAGCCATGCTGGGGGGGAAAGGGAGAGGTTTCCAAGCTGAGCCATGCTGGCTCAGGAATTCTGGGAGTTGAAATCCACGAGTCATAAAAGAGCCAAGGTTGCCTACCCCTGGCCTAGGAGGCTCACCGCTTAGAACAGGAGGACTTAGGACAGGGGTAGGCAACCTTGGCTCATTTATGACTCGTGAACTTCAACTCCCAGAATTCCTAAGCCAGCCATGCTGAGGGGAAAGGAGCCAAGGTTGCCTACCCCTGCCCTAACCCAAATCCCAACCCTAAGCCCGAAGCTGAAAACACCAGCCTGAAGATGACGAATGGGACTTCGTCGAAATGAAGCAAGTGGGATTGACATGGCTGGCTGGGAATTCTGGGAGTTGAAGTCCATGCGACTTAAAAGTGACCAAGTTTGCAGACTGCTATTCTAGTAAAAAGCCAAGTTTCCCTTTCACCTTCTCAAGCTTACCGGTGATAGTCCCGCCTGGACTTCTGTAACTGCTCTTGTTGATGGAGAAGCTTAGCCTCTTGCTCTGCTAACAAATTCTGGAGACGTTCCTTCTCCATCTCCAGCTCAATTTTCTGTAGCAGGAGCTGCTTCCTTTTCTCTTCCGAGACGTTTTGATCGCGATCGACTTCTTTCAATCTCAAGGCTTCGCCGGCCTTCTGCCTCGGAGGGTGCGGCGAGCCAAAATACTCCGAGGAAGATTCGCACGGGGGTCGCGCATATCGGTCTTGCACGTGGCAACCATCCTGGAAAGATTTGTGAGCCGAGTTTCCTGATTTTTGATGGAGAGGACACCCCCGAATGGGACAGCCGTTCTTCCTCTTCTCCCCATCAGGAGTTCTTCTAAAATGGGGGCTCGGATGCTGCTCAGATGGAGATGTCATGTTGTTGCATTTGTGGTGCAATCCGTTTTCCAAAAGACCCCCATTGCTGGCCTCTGTCTGACATCCATGGGTGCCAGCCCCAAGGACCCCTCTATTCCTACTAGGTCGAGTTGAAGGTTGAAGACTAGGGCTTCTACGAGTTACGTTGTGGTCCTTATACAAAGTCTGTAGTCTAGCTACACCAAGGTAGGATCCATCCAGGTCTGAAGGTGGCACCAAGTGACAGTTGCGTCTCTGGTTAGACATCTGTAAACAGACAGGGGAGAGGGGAAAAAAACACACGTTCAGCTTCTACAATTCAAAATAGCAGTCTTCCAATATTTGAGGGGCTGCCCCAAAGAAGAAGGGGTCAACCTATTTTCCAAAGCACCAGAAGGCAAGACAAGAAATGATGCTTGGCAACTAAACGAGGAGAGATCCAGCCTCTGCTGTTGGGCTGCATTAACAGAGGGACAGGATCAAGATCACGTGAAGTGTTAATGCCACTTTACAAGGCCTTGATGAGACCACACTTGAAATATTGCGTTCATTTTTGATCGCCGCCAATATAAAAAAATATGCCAATATTGTAGAAAGAGTGGAGAGAAGAGCAACGAAGATGATTAAGGGCCTGGAGACTAAAACATATGAAGATCGGTTGCAGGATTTGGGTATGTCTACTCTAGTCAAGAGAAGGACTATGATATCAGTGTTTCAGTATTTGAGGGGCTCCTACAAAGACGAGTGGGGGTCAAACTATTTTCCAAAGCACCAAAAGGCAAGACAAGAAACCGATGGGTGGAAACCGATCAAGGAGAGAACCAACATGGAACTAAGGAGAAATTTCCTGACAGTTAGGAACAATTAATCAATGGAGTGGAAGTTGCCTTCAGAAGTTGTAGGTGCTCCATCACTGGAGGTTTTTAAGAAGAGACGGGACAGCTATTTATCTGAAATGGTACAGGCAGTCCTCGGCTTAAAAAAATTCATTTAGTGACCATTCAACGTTGTAGTGGCATTGAAATGACCCATTTTTCACAGTTACGAGCTTTGCAGCACCCCCAGGATCGTGTGAGCAAAATTCAGATGCTTGGCAACTGATTCCTATTTATGAATCTTAAAACACCAAAGACTTAAAACACCAAAGACTATGGCCCAGCAACAACCACCAGCCAATCAAACGGCCCAAAACCAGACCACGACTCAGAAACATCTGGACCAGGGGGTCTTCAAACTTGGCCCTTTTATGACTTGTAGACTTCAACTCCCAGAATTCCTCAGCCAGCATGCCTGGCTGAGGAATTCTGGGAGTTGAAGTCCACAAGCAGCGGTCTTCAAACTTGGTCCTTTTATGACTTGTGGACTTCAACTCCCAAAATTCCTCGTGCCTGTCTGAGGAATTCTGGGAGTTGAAGTCCACAAGTCATAAAAGGGCCAAGTTTGAAAACCCGATCTGGACGAATAACACCCACACCAGTTTACCTCACACAAAAAAAAAGGTATTTAAAGGCCAGTGCTCTGTCAGACGAGCACAATTCAAAGCACACTGAAGATGTCACCCCAAATGGAAACGAAACGTCTGCGGTCAAATCGCCAAGCTCGGAGATCAGACCGACGGCCCATTCATATTTATTATGCCCGTTGCCGTGCCCCCAGGTCACGCAATCCCCTTTTGCGACCTTCTGACAAGCAAAGTCAATGGGGGAAGCCAGATTCACTTAACAACCGGGTTGCTGACTGCCGTGATTCATTTAACAACGGTGGCAAAAGAAGTCATCAAATGGGGCAAAACTCGCACAACAAATGTCTCACTTAGCAACGGAAACTTTGGGCTCGTAATTGTGGTCGTTAAGTCAAGGATTACCTATAGAGGGTTTTCTGCTTGAGCAGTGGGTTGGACTAGAAGACCTCCAAGGTCCCTTCCAACTCTGTTATTCTGTTAAAACCTTGTCTATGGTTCCTTAGCTNTGAAAAAAGGAAGAAAAAAAATCCCCCGTTTTTTCCCCAATTTTTCCATTTTTTTTCCCAAGCCTTCCCAACATATTCCTGGGCACAAGATCTATAAGAAGGGAATTGAGGATTTGCTTGATCCGGTCTGTTTCTCAGAACTTATCTTTCAGTCTTAATCCTTGATTAGATAACAATACAGGTACCCCTCAACTTAACAACCATTCGCTTAGTTACCGTTCAAACTTACAAAAAAGAAAAGAAAGAAAAAGACTTAGCACGGGACCTCAAACTTATGACCGACACAGCATCCCCCATGGTCATGTGATCAAAACCGGGATGCTTGGCAGCTGGCATGTATTTATGACGGTTGCAGCGCGCTGAGGTCACAGGATCGCTGTTTGCTTCCAACAAGCAAAATCCATAGGGAGAAGTTGGATTTGCTTAACGACCGCATGTTTTACTGAACAACCGGAGTGATTCGCTCCAGTTGACTTTGCTGGTTTTTAAGTTTTTAAGAAGAGACTGTCCGAAATGGTATAGGGCTTCCTGCCTGAGCAGGGGGTTGGACTAGATGACCTTCAAGGTCCCTTCCAACTTTATTATTATTATTATTATTATTATTATTATTATTATTATTATTATTATTATTATTAATTCAAAACTATATTCTAATGGGTGTGTGGTTTTGTGTGCTGCCTGCATCCCGCGGATGGGGCTTTGCTTGTTTGTGCGGACCGCTTGCTGGCATGCCCCAGCCCGGTACCGGTCCAGCCGGGGTTGGTGACACCTGCAATAGATTATCTTGAAGTGTTGTTCAGGGTCTTCCCTACTCCTCTTCCACCTAAACGGTCTAATTCGTCCAAATTACTAGATTTTTTATTTTTTGGGGGGGAAAAAAATGATGAGTATTACTATTCTCTTCCAACAAAGTACCATTAAACAACCTGGATTGTTTCTGTGTTTCTTTCTGAATAAATCTTTAAAAAAAAAAAGGATTTACTTCGAAGAATGTACAAAGTGGAACTTAAGTGGGGAAAAAAAAACACCGGAAGTTTAGGCTCTCTCATTTTATCACCCGTTTTGTCCCGATATCTCCATTTAGTTTTTGTTTTTTTTAAAGTGTTAAGATTAATCATGAGAAAGCAGCCAGAGAGACCTGGGATGGGTGATATTAATACTCTGAGATAAATAAGGTAGATAATGAGGGAAGGAGGTTAGTTGCCTATTTTCTGAGCTGAAGATAACGGGGCTATCCACGTTCATGAATGATGTATGATCATAATTGCTGTATTTCAAGTGCTGGATGCCAAAAAAAGGAGGAAGAGGAGGAGGAAGGAGAGAGAAACGGAGGGGGGTTAGAGGGGAAAAGGTGGTGGAGGAGGGAGGAACAAGAAGGGAGGGAGGCAGGGAGAAATGGAGGGGGAAAGGAAAGGGGGGAGGAGGGGGTGGAGGAGGAGGAAGAGGAAGAGGAAGGAGAAATGGAGAGGGAGAGGGTAG